AATTATAAAAATATTTACTTACCTTTTACTTTAATAAAAATAGTATACGGTCTACGGTCGCACAATCCCGCCCTTTTTTACAAGGGCACTTGTAACCCCGTTATAAGAGATATGTCACGCTTCTTACCTCTGGATAAGAGAGCGCGTCATAAAATTGACCTCGCCCCCAGAAGTAATATTGCGTCAGACGGCAATGGCAACGACCAAGCAAACAATGCAACGTCATTGACGCTCTTTTCGGTGGGTAGCACGAAGCAGTTTGTGTGAAGCAGTAAATTTCCAATATCGGAAACCATTATCAGCATAGAAAAGGCTAATGGCAAGTGGTAAATGGCATGCATAATCTAATAGACTGAGTACAGCCACGATTTTAGCACAATTGCCGATGGGACGGTGATATATCTTTTACTGCGGTGGGTTCATCGAATGAGATTCTCAACTGGTGGAGTTTATACCACGAGGGCTCGTACATGCACCAGAGACGTAAAATCGTCTAATCACACAGCCTGTTTGGCCATATCATGGTAATGACAAAGCTATTTCGACAACAAATATTATTTTGCCGTGCAGGGTGCGGAAAGTTGGATATGAAAAATCAGTACTAAATATCAGCGAGCGATGTTTGATTAAATGTGCTTGAAAGCTAATTGCTAATATAGACAATGATGTCTTTGGTGTAGCCGAAACCTAATTCTGGGGTGCTTTATTCGTAAGCAGGGCCTGAAGGAAAATCCCACAGAGTAGATAAAGGTCATAAAAAATGTTTGTTCCTTTGACTCAACGGGATTTGAGAAAGTAGCTAAGCCTGACCAAATATTTGCGCATATACAGTACAATCTATGCAGACGTGACACAAGCCCTCACCAAGCTATTTAATTTGGACAATAGAAGATTTTCGAGTGCAGCGGAAGATAGACTCTTCAGGTTGTGAAAAGATGAATACTTTGTACTCCAATTTCACGCTCTTTTGAATCTTGTTTGGATCATTTACGTCCATGACGCTTCAGCCGTTGCAGTCGGCTGCTATATACTCTGAGCAAAAAATGCAATTGAGCATGAAAGCTTAACTGCATTCGATTCTCGCCCGTATAAAAGATAAAGATGTCGGTCTTAAGAAAACTACTTGTAATGCAGTATGCTCCTCGCAAGATTAATGTGTGTCTGCTTGGCTCTAGGCCGTTGGTAATCTGTATAGATCATACGTCGGTACGCACAGTGACGTCGCCATCAAATTGCTCACAGGGTGAAGCGATTTTCATTATTTTTTCTTAAGTATACTGTTGAGGTAGGGGATAAGTCGGGTTGCAAGAGGTTCGTCACTGCATTTCCGCACATTTTGTCCTATGATTTTAAAAGTTTTGACCAAACGTCCGGCGTAAAACGCGGATCCCATTTGTAAATAATGCATTCGGGGGGGGGGTATGGTGACGAAAGACAGCATAAATAAAGTGCACAGCGATAGCGGTCCCGGTGATTTTGTCTAGCACCGCGAATGAATGAACGATCTTCCTAAAGCGGTAGACAGGAACAGAACACATAATGGCCGTCTATAACAAGAGAGTAGCCGAAGATGAAATTCTCTGATGCCAAACACAAGGACTCAAAGCTAACGGGTAAAAGTCTCAGAAAATTTGTGACGACGAAGGCGTCACCCGCTGGCCTATTTTGCAGAATTTATCTACTTCCGAACCATTTGTATACAAAAAAACTCGCGTGAAACGGCAATAACGTCTTCTCGGGATCGAATGACCGACCAGATGGGAAGTATGGAACTCATTCTTAGTCCGGAAGTGCAGATCGAGATAATTGATCTCTACGACTCGGTAGGCGGCTAAATCGACGGTACTGTCCGTCAGCAGGCGATCGTCAAGATAGTAGCATTGTGACGCTCTTCGTTTAAAAGGAGAAAACGCAATTCGTCTGTTGGCGCTTGGTAAGCCGAAATACTCCAAGATTCTAGTGTAAGTCGAAGCATGCTCGTAAGCGACACGAATCTCTTTTCGTGTTAGCCGCTTTGAAAGACGCATCTTAAGCTCACGCCTGATTCATTGCACGGGGCACACTTGCCTGAATTGTCATGTCCATGAAAATGCTCTGCTAGAGCATCTAGAGCAGATTATATCGGCGTCGACAGCGTCTATGACGCCACCGTCGGCGACGAATTACTCCCCCCGAATCAATCCGCTCATGGTAAGTGTTTAAGCCTTTGAGGGCAAGGATGGAGAGAATCCCCTGCTCTGGGTGAGAAAGGTCAATATGGTCATTATGCCCACCATGTCCCAGACCGATCAACAGCGCGTGGCGCTAGATATCTTCAAGCCCGGTGGTCGAGCGCGAGAATGGTCACTGACATGCGGCACCACGGTCGAAGCGGCATTTCCCTTTTGAATGTAGATTGACTTCAAGTGCGATCAAGTGGAGCGGGTTTGTGCGGCAAATCCGCCTAATTTTAAGGGTATAGAACGGAGCTAAAGCTGTAGATTTCACAAGTGTTCTCACCGCCTATTCAAGCATATCTCGTGCGATCGCGTTTCCTTGTTGCTCGAAAGTGCAAGAAAGAAAAGGTAGACTTTCTCCAAAATTGATAACTCATCTTGCCGGAATGGCAGCAGATCCTTTCCCCGAGGCAGTCCCAGTAACCGACTTCATGAAGGACCTCCACACTGGCGTGGCCAGAACGGAAGTCTTCCGTATGCAATCGTCTTCTTTTTGAAGAGGCAGTGATCGTGGCATTTAATGCCAAATTCAGCTTTCAGTCGGCACGACTTGGTTGAGATGCACACTCTAGCAGCTCGTCGAGCGGGCCCGAGCCGATGGATGGCAGCTATGCTGAGGACGAGAATACAGAGCTCCGTGCTGCCGAGCCAACGGTGTTTCGTCTGTAAAGACACCCGTCACCTTTGGATTGTTTTTTTCCTGTGCAAGGCGCGTCAAGGTTCATCGAACCGACGTCCCGCTTCTTAACAGTCTTCTGGTTTGTCGCGAGGAAGCCACAACACCCAGTAGGCGCGAGGCGGTCTACTGAGACTCAACCTGCCCGGTGAGGGGTTTTATCGAGCAACCCAGCGTGGCTGCTCGACCGTTTATATGTCTCAGCCGTAAGAGAAGAGAGCATGCGGAGCACAGACGTTTGCTTCTGTCACTAGCGTGATACTGCGGCGCTGCTCGGCATCAAGGAAATCGCTAGCTTCCATCTAAACACAGGTTAGGTTCTACGCCTTTGGGTTGCTCGTAGGACATCCACCTCCCACCTTCCGTACTCCAACGTACCCTCGCGGCACATAAGTTGTGCTTCATTAGATACTACACCTACCACATCCTCAAATAATGGTGTGAGTTCAGCACCTGTAACGACGCCCGCCATAGAAATGGTAGATGCTACCACCTTTACGGAAAAGTCTGACGCCATCGCGTCAAAAGTTTATAACTTCATAAGCATACTCTGCTTATTCTCGCCTTTCGTATATGGAACAAAACTATTGTACATACGAGATACACCATAGTCATCAGTGCGATCAGCCGCGACACTTCCTACTTCACCAATTTCCATGTCAGTTTGTCTCGTCCATAAAGGGGCTCAGGCGTGTATTGACTCTCGCGCGCGGTCTCCTTGTGGGCAGACCGCTAGCGCAATGCATTGTTACGTCGTCTGGAGAATGACCGAATTCATATCTATCTTAGATTCTCTCGCTTAAAGATTTATATTTATACAGTTTCTCACCTCGGAAGACTGGGAGCTTAATATCAGCAGCCACATGGTAAGAACGGCTGTACTTCCACTGACGCTTGGCTCTGGCGTTTGTGAAGGTGTCCCATCAGCATATTCTCATAGCCAAAAGACCTTCAGGCAAACAATCACCACTTCCGGCCCTTAAATCACCGTATGTTATATTATTACGGGCCCAACGATTGACATGACCTGTTTAAGTGCGCGATAAACTCATGCTTCCTTTACCCTTTGTATTCAGCCTGTTGAGACTTGGTCGTCGGTTGGACGACAAATGCTACCAAGTGCAAGAAGTAGCTGTGAAAAACAGAGCTCCCAAGCCAGAAGAGTAAGTCACCTCAACAGGTGACGAAATGTCTGAAAAGGTAAGTCTGACGATGCAGTATATGCAAGCGAGCTAATCGCCACCAAACAATTTGCTGCATTTGTCGTCCTTGATGTTCTTGCTGACTATTCATGTAGACATTTTCTCCCTGGCAACGTTTTCGTCGATAAAAGATTTGCATAAAGTCCAAATGTTTACGACCTTATCAAACAAGCTGCATGTGTATACATCATGTATAAATACTGGTGTATACATCGTTTTGAATATGGCATGTTGAATCATTTTTATGAGTTATCCTTACTATCTTGACATGACTAAGATTATATACAGCTATTTTCTCGTTTGAAGAGGCTTCTATAATCTTGATTGTTGACTTGATCTTCCTCATCCGTAGTCAGATTTTGGCTGGAGTTAGTGAGTGAGTTTTGTTGAGTGAGAGACTTATTGTTGACAGAAGTGCTTACTTATACAGGAGCATATTTTATCTATCTCCATCTCACTCGGGTTCCTGGTGGGTATAGGAAGGCCTGTTCTTGACAGACATCGAACCAGTGACTACTTGGTTATCGGGTCAGCATCTAATTGAATAATTTGATTTTCTTTTATGTATAATATCTTTTAATATTTTTTAACCAAAGCGATTGGTTCCTCTGCCACAAATATGACTATTCAATGAGGTCCATTACTATATTATGTTGTCTAAGACTTTCAAACCACCATGTTACTCCATCGTAAACGCCTCACGCCGAATGTGCAGCGTCTTGGCTTTCGAGCGTTGAGCAGCGTATTTTCTCCTAATCATTTCGATGTTGTTGTTGTTGGTGGTGGACATGCTGGCTGTGAGGCTGCTGCTGCCGCCTCTAGAACTGGTATTCATTAATATCGATGCTTGTCACAGCTTTAGGCTAATCTTTATCATTTGAATTTTTCAATCCTAGGAGCTAAAACGGCTTTGGTGACTCAAAAACTAGCGACAATCGGCGAAATGTCGTGCAATGTATGTGTTAAACGCTAATATTTGGTAAATTTTCTAACTTCGACCCACATTTTTCAAGCCGTCTATCGGTGGCGTAGGCAAAGGCACATTGGTTCGTGAAGTGGACGCTATGGGAGGTCTCATGGGCCAGGTGGCTGACTCAGCCGGCATCCATTTTCACATGCTCAATTCGTCGAAAGGTCCTGCAGTTCGAGGCCCTCGAGCTCAGATGGACCGAGATCTGTATCAACAAGGCATGCAAAACGCACTGCGAGAGCTACCAAACCTTTGGTTGATTGAAGAGGGAGTGGACGATCTGATTGTAGAGAAAAGGACTTTGAGTGAAGATGATCGTGTAAAGGGGGTGATAGTATCTTCTGGACGCGAGATTCAAGCTACACAGGTCGTCATAACAACAGGTACTTTTTTACGAGGCATGATTTATCAAGGACCAGATATTCGTATTCCTGCAGGAAGACATATGCGAGACTCGAATGGACTTGAGCCTCCAGCATTTGGACTAGCGCAAACTCTAGAGCGTCACAACTTTCCACTTGGACGATTAAAAACAGGAACTCCACCTCGTCTTGATGGACGCACAATTGATTATACAGATTTAGAAATCCAGCCTAGTGATGACCATCCGATACCATTTTCATTTCTTAATGAGCACAAGCACGTTCCACTAGCGGATAATCAAGTATTTTGTCACGCAACATACACAAATGAAGAAAGCCATCGGGTTGTAATGGATAATTTACACATGCTGCCGCAATATGATGGCGGGATAGATGGTAAAGGTGTGGGTCCACGATATTGCCCATCAATTGACGCAAAAGTCGTTCGATTTGGGGATCGTCCAAGGCATCGGATTTGGCTTGAGCCCGAGGGATTAAATACACATCTTGTATACCCAAACGGAATCAGTACTGCGCTGCCCGAGTCACTACAACTTGAATTGCTACGCACTATAAAAGGACTTGAACAAGTGAAAATCGTGCGACCTGGATACTCCGTTGAGTATGATTACGTGGACCCCCGATCGCTGCACCCGACGCTAGAGACTAAACAGTTACGTGGATTGTATCTGGCCGGTCAGATAAACGGAACCACGGGATATGAAGAGGCCGCTGCGCAGGGTGTAGTAGCTGGCATAAACGCTGGTTTAAGTGCAATGGGACGAGAACCTTTGGTCCTTGATCGAGCTGACGCCTTTACTGGTGTATTGATTGACGACTTGACATCCTTAGGTACAACAGAACCTTATCGGATGTTTACATCTCGGTCAGAATTTCGTCTGTTGCTTCGCGCTGATAACGCCGATTTGCGTCTTACTCGCAAACTATTTGAACACGGTGCCGGAATATCAAACGAGCGTATGAAGAATCTAGAACAAAAGGAAAACGCTATTGAATATGCACATCAAGCGCTAAATGACTTTGAGCGAGATCCACATGAATGGAATCGCTATGGCATAAAGGTGGGACTCGACGGTATCAAGCGTAACGCTGCACAAATTCTTTCATTTTCGACTGTAACGCCGCAGGAGATTGAGCGAATTTGGCATGAAGTCGATTATAAGTACGCGGATGCATTACCTGACGAGATTAAAGATTTGATGAAGACTGAATGTCTTTACGCGTCACAATTACGCTTGCAAGAAAAGGAAATTCGTGTCTTTCGTAGCAAGCAGCACGTTCAGATCCCTAAGTGGGTGGATTACTCTGAACTACCAATGATCTCAATCGAGGAACGCGAGATTTTGCAGCGTTCACAGCCCGCTACAATTCACGCAGCCAGTCGCATCGCTGGAATTCGGTCGACGACCTTGTTGCTGCTCTACCAATACGCCAAGCGTCAAACCAAAGAGAATTTCACAAAGAAAAAACGAAGACGGAACATGATTGCTCAACGTGTGCAGGAAGAAGCGGGATAGATCTCTATACTTAGTTTAAATGAAACGATTCATTAGTGTAGCCATATCTTTGCAGATCTTTTAGCCACGTCGTTTCAAGATCATTAACAAATCTTTTTCTATGGAAAAGCGTCGTCAACGGGTTTAGTAGAATCCATTGAAGATGGAAACCTTCAACAACTAAGAGATCTTTTGCACAGCCACGATGTAAATGTAAAGCACAAACTTGACAGTTTAGAAAACTCATTGTGGGATCTGGAGCTTGGCAAGGCAGTGCATACAGTAGTGGCTTCAGATATCAAATCACGTCGACACTTTCAGCAGCTTCAAATAGCTTTAGAACTATTACTTCGGACACGACCTGATGCTTGGAGTTCTGTCTATTCTTGTGAAAATGTGATTGACTTTTGCGACGAGATTCGCGTCAGAGGTAGCGAAGCAAATTGGACAGCTAATCATCAAGCTTGTGCAACGGGAAATTTAGCCTTTGTGGCATATGTACTGCAGTATTATCCAGCGCAGTTCGAGATTCAGTGTCGCGACGCGTTTGGGCTATTTCCAATTGATTTATTACCACCAGAGCTGATTATGACTGCAGAGGGAACTACTGAGGATGTCCAAGAGGAACCAGATGCAAGGAAGTTTGGCATTTCGCGGACCTTACAAAATCTCGTCGTAAAACGCTTAAGGGAATGCAAGACAAAGGTACAAGACGAACACGTGCGTAGTCTTATGAAGAAGGCGAAGGTTGAAAAAGTCGACAATATAGATAAAGAAGGATATACAGCTGGTGGTTTTTACATCGCACTTCAGCACCTTCCAAACGATCATGTTCATGAGCGTGGCGAGAAGCTGCAAGTGAAATTTCGCTTGCCACTTAATGACCTTTTTCTTGATGGCTACTTTCAGCTTATCTGGCGAGAAATTGGAGACAATCTAAGTGAGGAGCCCAACTACGACCCACACGTTACAAGACTACGCGATGAATGCGCACGTATCACGGAGAAGGAAGTTCCATTTCAACCACAGCCCAGTCCAACGTCTCTTTCGCTCAAGCTTTCATGTGTAAATTCTGTGGTTGAAAATTCTTTCGTCATCGAAGTGACCGATTTGCCTCCTGATAGCGTCTGCCATGTCCTTTTCATTACTTGTGATCGGCAATTTCTGCATCGAAATGTTGCGTTAAGCACGGAAAGTCTTACGATACGAAGATCCAATGATGAATACATTCTGAACTCTGCGAGTGACGAAAAGATTAATGAACGGCAGTTTGAAGATAAAAGTAAACAGCAAAGTTATATTTTCTTTGTGGGAGGGGAAGAGTTTTCGCACCCAAATGAAGTATTTGCTGGTCAAAGCTTTCCTGACGTGGAAGCGTTTGAAATTTTTTTAAGGGATCTGAAAGCGAAAAAAGAGCAAGATAGAATTGATTTGATGAAGCGGCTAGAACAGACGAATAACGTCGATGAAGCTACTGCAGTCAGTGAGCAAAAGATATAGAGAAGTCAATCAATAACAGAGACGTGAGGTGCAGCACATTGCAATATGGTTGACGAGTTGGATGGCAACGACATACTAAGTTTAATTGCAATTTTACGTTAAGATTCGCTTTCTCAATTATCATTTCAATTGTATCTGTCGTTACCGGTTAATTTCTCGATACATACTCGCAAATTGATAAATTGACATGAGTAAAAAATGACAGTAATTATTTGCTTCAGAGCGTTAGGAGCCAACAATCATGTAAACGTTTTTCTAATAAAGACATTTTCGCAAGATAATATCTCGAGTTGAGGTATCAGACTTAGCAAAGTAATGTCTAACGAGGTAAATAGCTGGGTGATAGCGTCATCACTTCGAGTATAGGTGACGGCAGAGCCATTGTTCGCTGACGTTTGAGCTCACAAATAGCAGCCAACAGTTTATGTTATCAATATTGCAAACGCCAGCATTACAATGGATATCGTACAGTGCACTCCCAATTTGGACGCATCCGACAATTTGCTCGCAGCAAAAAGTACTCCTAGCCATCTACTATGAAGGTTGGAATAATGCAACAATGATAAATTTGCGA